GTAGTGACAGGTCCTAAGTCAAACATGCAGATTTTTAAATTAAAAACCTATTAGTTTCGCATTTTTCTTCCTCTCAATTTATAGGGAAGCTCTGAAACATGGATATTTTAATACAAATCTGTGTTTTGTCTAAATTCTACAGCAGAGACAATGGCAACAAGATTACAGCGTTACAAATGCTGAAAACCCCTCTGTTTGGAGAGGAGAAGCGAGGCACAAGCTGCAGCGAGCGCTTGTTTCCCTGGAGTCAGAGATAAACCCCTGCTCCAGACAATGGCAAAACATTTGTTCCCCAAACCCCTTTTGTCTCCAACTTTGCAAACGCGAGGTGAGCGCCTGTTAGTTTGATGAGGTGGAAAGTGTATCAAAAGACAGAATATAAATTTTTAAATTAATAACTTGTCAGTACTTCCCTGAATAATTGTATGCAAGCACTTAGGAAAAATGTGGTTCTCAGACAAAGCTGCTCATGTCCCACTACCTGCCATATCCTCGTGCAATGTGAAGGAAGAATATGTGATGCTGGAACTTCACTCCTGGGTGGACTCCACGGGCAGGGGTTGGCCTCTGCGTGTCCTGCCATGCAGCATGTGCTAAAGGGAAGGGCAACAGAAGGGGAATAAAATAAAAACTACCTATAAAATGTGAATCAGATTAAGCAGAAATCCCAAGGTACTATGTTTAAGTGGTTATGGCTAAAATAATAGCAGATCCATGCAAGTGGGAGATGCTGCAGCGCTCGCTTCCTCTGCTCCCTGTTGCCTACTTTTCATCCGATGTGCTTCTCTTGAGTAGGATTGAAGTTTTTTAGGTAAGTTTTCTTGTGGATAGTTTTTCTTTTTTCTTTTGCACATGACCTAGCATATAAGAAAGCCAGCATAGTGCAGTCATTAAAAATACACTATTAGGATACTTCAGTTTGGGTTGTTGCCAGGTCCAAGCGCATAACATGCCGTGTTTGCTCCCTCATTAGCCGAGCACAGGAGGAGCGCGCGCAGCCCCTTCGCAAAGGTGTGGGTCATTTGCTCCAGCTTGTTTGGAATGGCTTCCTAACAACTTAAAATGAACTCCGTTATTGTTGGTATTGGAGAATTTGTTCTGCAATGTATTTTCCTTTTTTCTTTTCCTTCTCTTTTCTCGATGAGTTATTTGCCTTAAGGAGGGAGAGAGATCAAGGTCAGGGAAGGGCCCTCATCACAACCTTAGCGCCAGCACCGATCCGTGCGCTAATGCCAAGATTATCAGATAAGCACCAGAAACAAGATCAATTTTCACTTTCCTCACTGCATCGTAAGTATGATAAGTAGGTGACCCAATGTTGACTTTGTTGGTTTTTTTTAAGAATTATTAGAATTATTTGTTTCGGTTAGTAATTTATTATTATTATTTTTACATCTATAAAACATTACAGGAGTTACAGTCCTTTGGAGATATTGAACCGACATGTATTTATCTAAGGTTACAGGGTAAGAAAGGGTCTAATGAATTACTGGAATCTCGGCAACTGGTTTAGAGAAACTGTTCTGTGAAGTTTTATTGCCTGCACAAGTCAGTGCTGGATGCGAACTGCGGTGTTTTAATTGAAGGAGTTCTTAAATATTTGTCAAATATAGAGGATATAGGCTGAACCTGTCTGCTCTGCCCGAATTGCCTTTTCCATGTCTTCCTGTTTTAGCTTACTGGTATCCAGGGCTCAGATAAACAGGCGTGCTTTGAAACTCTCCAATTAATGTCTGTCTCGGATATCACAGTGAAAACTTGGTCTGTGGTGGTTCTTTGGAAATTAAGCTGGTTTCCTAATTCCTATGAAGTTTTCCTGGCCACCTAAATCTGGAAACAAACTATTTCAAAAGTGTAAGTCTTTTTCCTGCTACTGCAGGTGAGCAGGTGTGGGTTTGGCTGAGGCTCACGAAATGCTTTAAAAAAGGCGGTGAGTTTTTCCCCGGTTGCTGTTGTACCGCGAAGGATTTCAGGGCAGTCCTGAGGGCTTTTCCTTCCGCTTTCGTGCGGAGCAGAGGCGAGGCTGTGGGGCGGGAGACTCCGGAGGCCGTCGGGACGCTGCCCGGTGCACAGGGACCGTCGCGCTGGCCCAGGCCCTGGCTCGCCTGGGCCTTCCGCTGTGCAAAAGCCAAAGGGAAAAATGCAACGGGTGTTTCTGTCACGTCCATGGAGCAAGTCAGGAGGGGATGGGTCGTGTTCTGTGTGACTCTCTGCAGAATTGTTTTCTTTCTGCACTTAGTGCTATTTATTGCTCCCTTTCCTAATGTCTTTTAATTCCACAACTGCCATTAGATAAAATAATGAGCCGAGTTACTTATTCATAAAAGCAATCTACGTATTCGTTCTCTAACAAAATAATGTTGTCATGGATTACTGGCAGTAAATTATTTTAAGGTATACATTTGGAAGTAAACAAAACCATACATGTGAAAATATCCTCGATCATTTTTGCAGAGCATCTTATTCTCTTCTTCCATTCTTGATCTGAAACCCTGGTGCAGGGTCTGAAATCGCAGTGCTCCTGTGTTAACACTGGCTGGCCTCGTGCTTCATTCCCCTCTCGCGGCCTGGCCCGCGTGTGGGACGTCACTGTTCTTCGCTGCTGCCAGCCGGGACGCACGCGACTGGCGCGATTCCTTGGCGCAGCCCCGGAAGCCTCCCTGCCCGCTCCTGCTGCTGCAGGACTTGGCAGCCAGGAACCCGGCTTGGACAGGTCCTGCAGGGGCTTCTGGGAACCGTTATTTTAAAGCTGTGATAGCACCAGCTTAAATAATTTGCAAGATCTTGAACAGTTTTCTAATTAGTTTTTGATTGCTCAGCGGGTGCCCATATTCTGTCCAACGCTGGTACTTTTTCCTGGGCAAGGAGCTGGAAAGCAGCGAGCTGCCAGCTGTGTAATTTCTCCCTGGCTGTGAGCACGCGTGGCAGCGCGCTCGACGGCACTGCCGATCCCGCTCCGCCACGTGGCACCCCTGTGCCGATGCTGCGCGCACATCGAAGCCTCACTGGTGTTTCCTCACATAATTCATTTTAGGACAACTGGGATTCTTTAGGACAGCCTGGACACTCTAGAAATGTGGCGCAGAGTCTGGAAAGCGAGACGCAACGTTCTCCATGTCTTCAGCTCAGGCTCGGGCGGCACGGGCCGCTGTGCCCCAAGGGCCGCTGTGCGCCGTGGGGCTGCGTGTGCCGGGGGCGCGCACCCTCGCTCTCGCGCTCTGCACTTAGGTGCCTGGTTTGCAAACCCTAGCCGAGATGCACGAGTCCATAAAGACGCGTCACGGTAATTTGGTTCAGACTCCAAGGCTCTTTTGGTTCCCTACCCATAACGTTTACTCACGGTAATAGCTCTCAACGTGCAGCCAATGCAGTGACGCTGCACCTGAGCAGTAGCTGGCTTGGCTCTGCATACGCTGCCAGTGCGTTGCTTTTCCTCCATACGTTACAGCAGCCGGCTGCTTTGGCTTTGTGGGAAGAGCCTGCTGGAGAGAATGGGCAGATCTGCAGGTTTCCACACTCACCTTTCCTAGTTCTTGAGTTTTCCATAATGCCGTTTATAATGATGCTAATAAGTGGCATGTCCTGGGATGTCCACAGATGTCTTGTCATTTTACTTCAGCTCCGTGAGCTAAGGACATTGATCAGTAGTCAGAGCTCAGACAACTCATCCCGTCAGAGGGAGCTCCCAGGGAGCGGGTGGCACCGGCTCCGGAGGCAAAGCTGCCTGGCACCGCGTCTGCCCAGCGTGGTGCCACAGCCCCTGCGCCGGCCGCGGTGGTGCTCAGGTTATCCGGGTTAACAGATAACAACGGGAATTATCTTTTCAGCATGTATGTTTTTTTAAAGCCAGCTCACCTCAGTGATCCTCTAGGCCATTTGTAACTAGTTGTATCTGCTCAGTGCGTGGGGTCATGTCACAGCAGATGGAAATGGCTGAAGGCAGGAGCACAGAAACCTGCCTTGTGCCGTGAGCTACATGATCTCTAGAGGTCCCTTCCAACCTCAGCCATTCTGTGAGTCTGTGAGTCAAATTGCTCTCTTTATAATCTGAGCTGCCTCCTAAGATGCGTGTCCCCTGGACCCCCTTGGTTTATTAGGTGAGGTAAATGTGCAATAATTGTTTAGCCATCTATCAATATTATGGCTATAGTATATACCTCTTCATTCAACTAAGATACCTTGAAGTGAGCTTGTCCATATCAGTCGCAGCAGAGAGACTTGCACCTGTATTGCCAAATCCTTGCACTGAGGTCTTCACTGCTAGTAGTGCTGGCCAACTACTGGTCCCTTCCAGGTTTAACATATTAGCAAAGCATGAGGATTATTTGTACTGATAAGCAAGCTGTCTGATGAGGTGAGCTCTTCAGTATAATGTGCAGTAATCATCCAGGTCCATACCAGGAAGCCAGCAAAACATCTGTGCAAATCATCAGATTCCTTTGGGTGTTGCATAAGTCATAGGAGAGGATGACTCATGTGAACTTCTCTTGGGTGGCTTGGAGTGGTATTTGCTTTTGAACAGGCTAACTAACTATCAGACTTGTAAGAAGACAGAGATATAGAAGTATGTTTTGAGACATGTTGAAAACAAACCCTCCTTATGAGGATGCTTTAGAAATATCATCCCCCATAAATTAAATCGTACTTACTGTGAGAAAGAAATTATCTTCCACCTGCAACTGTGCATCATAGGATCCCCTTTCATGGTGGCATAGCACCCTCTTGCAATGTGCTTCATGGTGCATCTACAAAATATCTTCATGGCATAGGGTACTTTGTTTTAGATGCTAAGGTCAGAGAAATGTAACATCAACCAATAAAATACTTTTCCATCTAGTAACAGTGAGATAGATTAAAAGAGCTTTACCGAAACAGAACCAATAACTGAAAGAAGTCAGAATGACCTTTATAATAATATCTTTTTAATGTAAGCTATCTCTTGAATATGTTTCACCTGTTTTATTTATTTTTATTATTATATATTTTTTTTATTTTTGTAGGCTGTGGAAACCAACCTTGCTTCAAAGGATAGTCACTGGGTCTATGTAAATGAGGTAAGAAAGCCAAAAGAGATGAGATAGCTTGGTGCATTCATTCATCGTCATCTTTTGTTCCATATGTTTTGATATGCCAAACTCGAGCAAACTGTTTGATACAGCACACTTGCCATCTTTGCTTTCTGACTGGTACCAGTTGTAAGCTGTGTGGCATCGCTGCTCATCCGTCTCATTTGAACTGGCATAGGCTGAATACCCAAGGTCAAAGCAAAGCTTCCAGAGTACCTGTTAGCAGCTGCGAGACTCTGTTTTTGCCCTCTTTGCTATTGACCCCATCCCATTAGCTGCTTAGTAAGAGAATATCGCGAAAGAAAGCCGGAATAAATGCATGCCTGTCTGTGCTAGGATCTCACCCTTCACGGCTCTAACGCCTGCACTCCAGCCCTGAGGGTGGCAGGAGAGAGCGCTGAGGCCACTCGCAGCCTGAGCTTGTTGCAATAGACATTTATGGTCTTAACCATAATGGTTACATGGTTAAGTTACATGGTTTTAACTTAAAGATGGTTTAAGTTTTGTCTTCAGAGCAGATTTGTGTTGGTGTCTTGGCCACCATCCAGAATAGTAAGGAAATGAAATGTGAGATTTCCTTTCTGCAGCAAATGGTATCATCTCCTGCTGCTGTGATTACTTATTTTACTTTAGTATTGAGATGCCCTATTGGGAATCAGAGCTGACTCATATCTAAAAAGATGGGCAAAGCTTGAAATGTTGTACCGTACATAATCATTTATAAATCATTGGTTATTCAGGAAAAATAGCCCGATCTTGCATAATTCTGATTTTAATAATGAATTGTTAAAGGATAGTAAAATGTGTAACTTAGAGCTAACTATATTCACTCTCATGTTTATATTTGAAACATATAACCTCTAATTTAATAACCATCTCCTTTGTTAACTTCTCATTGCTTTCTTTGCACCTAGATAATAATGTTGGATAGACTATTTTTAATAATAACTATAAATTGCATTGTGTGGCTTTAGAAACACTCTGTAATTAAATAGAGGGATGGAGAAAGGGAGTGAAATCTCTGCTTATAAAAACTTTATAAATCCTTTCTAGCTCTTGTTACATTTATGCACTGATTTGTCACCTGCAGTAATGGACCAGCACAAAATATCAGCAATATGAAAGTCAATATTTATAGTCACATAAAGATAATACAGGGCATATTGCCCTGAGCGTTTATGGAGAGGGTCTGTTTGTGAATTTGTTACTACTGTTGTTATTGTTCAGATGTTAAAATTCACTTCATGAAGCCTGGGTCTGAAACATCCCAAGTAAAATCTGCAGTGCTTGTGCAGAAACATGTCCATACATACAAATGCACATCAGGAAAAGCGCCTGCTGTGCTCTTACTTGGAGAATTCTTCTTTCCCCTTACTGTTACTAGAGATGGGTAGCATAGCTACAAGAACAAAGTGTGAGTTCTTCACAAGACAAGACAAAATGAAATCTTCCCTTTCACCTAAAAGAGTCTTGGGATCTTGTTGCTACAGGCATGTAGCAGAAATGCTCTTCCTTGGTAATTATTAGTGCAAAAAACAAGCAAATACCCCAAAATGCAGTTGAGTTCAAATTACAGACATTTCAAAATCGTTTATTTATTGTTCTTCTGCCCCATACTGCAAGATAAAAGTTAAATTTTGGAGTTGAAAATAGTTTTATCAGCTTAATTCTGTTAAGTGATCACCAGCTCCAAGCTCGTGATGAGCCATCTCAGAGCCCTGTGGCTGGCAGGTTGGCTGCAGTGCGGACGCGCAGACCCTGCGAGTCCCGGCGTCGGGAGGGACATTCAGTGCTCTTGTCACGGCCTGACGTGTGACGGGGCTCGGGCTGCCCTGCTGAGGGAGGCGCCTGCTCAGCAGGCGCCCTCGGTGCCGCGGGGGCTCTGCAGAGGACGGCTGGGGTGCCGGGAGAGGCTCTAGCGTTGCAGGGGGCAGTTCGTGGAGCAGGAGCGAGTCTCATGACCTCTTGGAAGTCATCCTTCGACTTTTCAAAAACTAGAGTTTTTGTGACTTTGTGTAAAACTTTACCAGGAAAAAAAAAAAGAGAGAGAAAAAAAAAAAAAGGAAAAAAAAAGAAAAAAACAATGACTGCTCCATATTTAGCTTTGTCTTAAGAATTGCCAAAACCTTGGAGTACCATTGACTGTGCTGGAAGTCACCAAGGATGCCCAATTTTGACCCTAATGAGGATCTGTCAGAATGTATGTGGCGCTCTGTTTAGAGCCATGTCATTTATGCCTCTAACTTGTGATACTGTTGCCTACCAGCCTCAGTAGACATGTGCTGTTTCTCCTCGTGGCATCACTCTGCCACAGTTGCAGATGTCCTGCTTTTTTTCCTGTGTATTTGTGTCTTGTCTTTTTTTTTCTGCTTTCCCTTTCTAGTTCTGCTTTTTTCTCCTTGCATTTCGTTCCCTTTGGTGCCTGACATCAAGCATCTCTGTTGGTGCCTCCTGACATTCTTCCTTCTCCCCTTCCGTCGTTTTGCACGTTCGCAGGCGGTGCCGCGCGGCGCCCAGCGCGGTGCCTCTGTGGGAGAGGCGAAAGAGCAGTGCTCGAAACCGAGTCTGCATGGGGCTGCGCTAGGAGTGGTGCGCCTGGAGGCTGTCCGCTCTCTTAGTATCAGCTGTGGTAGGTCTGGGGCTATAAATAGAACTAGGAACTGTATTTCTGATTTGGTGGGAAATTTCATGGGTTTGAAATTTTCTCTCTGTTCCAAATGGAGAGATAGATAAGGAAAATGTTCTGCAAAATTGGACTTCTGACTGAAAAAAATCCTTCCATTAAACGCAATGTTTCATAATGCTATAAAATGCATTTTATACTGATGTACATTGATATATTCAGTTCTAAGTTTCTAAACTTCCATTACTTTTGTATGTAAATCAGTTAAATATGCAAAAAAAAAATCAATGTTCCTCATCGAATAATGGTGCCAAATTTGGTAACTGAAATGGGTTGTTTCAGTATTATCAGACACTTCCTTTCATTGCTTTTTTAGCCACCATCAGTATTCACAAGTTTAAATACAAGATATGCAACATGATAGTCCAAAGCACAAGACTATTGGTTGGGTGGGAGACAGATTTTCATGGAGGACAGGTATGGATGAAGGGAAGACATCTAGGGCTGCCTATGCCAACTATATATGCTTGCTCGAAAGCTAAGGATGGGTGAGGGGAAGATTTCTGGAACATCTGTGTGCAAATAGCAAAGGATGGATGCTCTGGAGAAAGGTTTTGAGCATGTGTAGAAGTGCCCAAAGGACAAGAGTTGCGTATTAACGGGAGAACTTTATTTACCATCTGAGATGAAAAAGTAAGGGTGGGATATGGACAAGACTTAATGGTTTCCTCTGATGGACAACGTTATAGCTACATCTTTAAGAAGGTCAGACAGTGGTCAGATCAGATTTGATTATAGTTAGCAAAGAATCGGTTAGAAATATAGCGTCAGAAAATAATTGGTGTGAAAGTGATCATGAACTGGTAGAATTCACTCTTATAAAAGAGGAAGGAGTGAGAAGAGGAGAGCAAGGATAATGGACTTAAATAAAGAGACTCTCAGACCTCCTAAGCTTTAGGAAACTAGTAAGGCTTTGGAAAAGATTCAGGAGAAAAAAAAGGTGGTAAAAGAACTGACAGTTCCTTGGGGGGGAAAAAAAAAGTTTATTTTAAAGCACAATAACAAATTATGCCAATGTGAACAGAAGGCAGGAGGCAGGAAGCATATCATCGCGGTTGCATAGGGATATCTTCATAGAGCTTGAAATTGAAGAGGGATTCTACAAAAAAACACGGGGGAAGAGGGTCAGGTAATTACTGAGGAGCATGAAGAGGAAAAAAAGGCGAATGATCATAAAATCAGGCTGAAGTGCAAAATGAGTCATGCCAGGTGCCATAGAAAGCAACAAGAAAAGACTAGATCTAGCAGAAGGTAAAGGAAAATGTAAGGCTGTTGGTAAATGGAAAAAGCAAGTGCAGTTTTAATGTTTTTACTAACTCAATTCTGGCTTTATAAAAACGGTTAACGGACTGTTAAAAACTGGGCTTTTCTAGTTTGAGATTATTTAGTAAGTCTGAGGTGCCCCAGAGTCAATCCAGTATTCAGTGCAGAGGAGTACAGTTACAGAACAAGGAACCGCTAGTGAGCATTTGCAGGAGCAACTTGTCATCAGCAGTGGTAATAAGCAGAATATGAATCAATGCTGTTGTGCACTTGCAAGAAAATCTGTTCCTCAGAGGTATTAATGGAAACATCCTTGTAAGATAAGGCGGCTTTGCTGTGCTTGATACCAGCAAGGTCTTGCTGCAACAGCATGGTAAGTTTTAGGCAAGACACTTGAAAAAGAAGGAGGGTGCAAATCAACTTCCAAATCTAGAGGAGAGCAAGTAGTACGTTCAGAGTTGGATAAAATGTGGCCTCTGGGGAAAGGTTGAAAGAATTGGGTTTGTCCCCTTTGAAATAGGGTAGATGAAGCAAGAGTAGCGCAGTAGAACATATATTATGTTCTAAATGTGAAGAAGGATGTGATCACATGTTCACTCTAGAAAGATAAGGAGAAAGCAATTTAATTTTCAAAAGTAAGAATTAGATTGAGTATCAGGAAGTATTTGATAATCTAAATATGATAATGAATAGGAACAACTTCCTTGGTTACTTTCTTCCATCTCATCACCTCTCTAACTCAGCATCTTCTGCTGTTGCCGCTTCCCTCCCCGCTGCCCCCCGCTTCCAGCATCCTACTCGCACTATTTAAGTCTGCTAAACATTTTCAGATCTCAGTTTGGAAAGAGAATTGCAAGTGTGTTATGAATGCCACTGGAGCTGGTAGTATTGCTTTTATGATCTGCACCTTCTGTTCTAGTTTTTTTCATATATCTCTTTTCAATATGTGTTTGACAGTGAAAGTTTATACAAATAGTCACTACTTAGACTTGTGTTCAAATTATTTACTTAATTTCTTTGCTGACTAACATGAGGTTTATGG